CTTTAAGAATAACAGGGGGTTCGGTTGAAACAGTAAGCTTTATCTCTCGAAAAGGCACTTCAGCACTTTTAAAAATGTTATGTTGTTTAACAATTCTGGTTGAAATAACTGCTGCCGGTGGCTTAGCTGTTACAGTTTTCATTCTCCGAAAAGGTAACTTTTCATGATTTGCGATATCATCCTTGTCAACAGACACTGACGGTACCTCACCCTCCGTACACGCCGCCACCATACTCTAGAAAAAGAAGTAATAGAGGAGGTCATTAAAATTCAAGTTCATAAGTTGTAGAAGCATTCTCACCAATGGACGGCACTCTTCAGAAACCTCGTCAAATGCGAATATTTCATTATCACAACGAAGTAAGGCCGCAATACCGGAATCACAATCTACATAATTTTTGTTGCAGCCTAAGGCATAGAATCCATCCTCCTTCCCTTTGCAGAACTCACTCAATAATTGTTCAACTGCAAGATCAAAACCCAGTCACAAAATAATCAAAATCGACCTGCATTACGAATCAAAATAAATGAAAAACAACTTACTTGGAAATTCATCAGTTATTTCTTCTTTTAACAGAGGAAAGGACTCAACAGATGTATCAGTCAAAAAAGAAATTTTTGGAGCAGCAATGGTTGTTGTATCCATATTAACAGCTAGTTCTACAGATTCAGAAAGGCCACTCAACTTTTCCGCAATACACGCGGCTACCTTTCCCTACAATTTAGCCAATAACGTTTACCGGTATTACTGAATAAAACCAGAAAAAAACGTGGAAAAGTGATGTTATACATAATACAGTTTAAAAAATTACTGGCTCTTGACATTCTAAAGTATCCTCATCAAAAACCAACGACGAATTAGGACAAGTGAGCAGTTTTCCAACTCCTCCCACACAAATCACATACTGCGGAACGCAACCTAATGAATACACACCGTCTTCGAAAGACTGACAAGATATGTCTGAAATTATTGAGATATGGCTCTGTGAACAGAAAGTTGTCCCATTAAAACACATCTGATGAAACTTACAAACTGCCACATTAGTACGTTCTGGTAACCGCAGAATCTCAGGTTTCTCAGTCACACTTTCCACTACAAGTGGAGTTTTAGTAAACAAGGGTAATGGAGGAGAAGTTGAAGTGCCGGTTCTAGCAGTCACAACGGTTTCAACAAGCTTTACCGGAACCTGGGTGGTTGAAGTCGCTATAGCAGCAGCCGTTACGGTTTCAACAACCATCATTGGAAGCAGTACAGTAGTTGCCTCCAAAGCTTTTACTCTAGCTGCCCTAAGACTCTCAGTTTCTCCTTGAAATGTAATAACTGCTTCAGGTATATGACTAGCGCAACCCTGCACAGCAATCTGAAATAAAAACATGCGTTGATTTTACAGCAGATCAGTAGCCTAGACCAAAAGCATTTACAGGGGCGAGACACAGTTTTGAAGCTTCATCATATCGCAAATTCGCGGCACAGTTCATCGCTCTAGGTTCACCTGCCACACAAGCAACAAAGTGTGAGGAACAGCCGTACCCGTGATAACCATCTCCCAACTCCGCACAGATATCTAGGAAGTAAAATACAGTAAAGAAAATTGAAAAAGCTAGCGAAATCTGAAAAGGACTAAATGATTACTTTTCTGGACGTCAAGTGGAAGCACAGTATCCTTCCTAGCAATGTCTTTGGACTCTAGAAGAACACCTGAAAGAAAACCACTACCAAAGACTCATTTTATCACCATCTAAAAATATAAAAACTTACTTGTGACGACAGGATTATAAAGTCCTTTCTGCTGACATATCGGAACTTTCTCCCTATAATGAGAATTCATTAAAATAAAATTGCTTTCAACAGCCTGAACGGTATCAACCATGAGATTAACAGCGTCCTAGAACTAACTTTTGCAGACACTGCTTTACAGTTGGATGGAGAACGGTTCCGGACGGGCAATTCATAATGAAAGCTGTTGCTCCAGAACAGGAAACAAATTCGTTGAAACAACCCAGCGAATACACCCCATCAGTCAAGAATAAACACATATGATTCCGGACTTCTGCAAACCAATCTTAACTTAGAACTTGGTCTAAAGAGCGACTACCGTTTGGATAGCGAGCACAATCTTTACCAATGACTAATCTTTATCATCGATACTGTGCATCTAAATCTGAATAATTAACCCATCAATTTTAGACAACTACAAGTGAAATATAAACGTCTTCTCTGAACTACCACAGAAGCATTCCAAATCCGCATTGTTTTTTTTGCTCCTATAACTACTACTACTACTACCTGATCCTCCCTTAGAAGTTGACAAAAACACCGTTAAGAATCTGCAAATTACTTTAGTCTTCGCTCTGTTTGTAATCTACTCGTTAGTACTGTTTGTTATTCTGCGTTTCGGCAAAATTTATCTAATATTTCTAGACAAAAAATTCTAGGTAGTTGAATTCCTCTCATGGGGAGTAAGAGGCTATTGCACAGCCTCAGCCTCATAAATGTAGCTTGATGCCAACGAAGCATAAACTTCAGTGCATTGAAGTTGTGTTAAAAAACTAAAAGTGACTGTGGACAAATCAGTATCAGTCAAATGCTGCAGTAAGCAGTGATGTGAACAGACGCATAAATTTTCTAAGAAATCCTAAGAATTCTTCATCTTCAAGTCATTCAAGTCACTTCTGTAGGTTGTACCTCCCCCTTAAAAATAAAAAAAGCGCAAAGGTCATTTAGAAAAGGTTCAAAATAATTTTGCCGTTAAACTTCCTAAATTTTCTGCAAAAAAGTTCTGATAAAAAGATGAAGTCTTGATTTTTCTCGGACGAGTCTGTATAACTGCGACCCAAAACGTATGAAATTACCTGCAATTACCAAATTGCTCCTCTTTTACCAGTCCAGCCCCACTTTAAAAAATACAATGCTCAGTGAAACTGACGACCAATAAATCCTCCTAGTCTTAAAATTATTTTCATAGATTCTTTCCTATCTGGGAGGAAGCAATGTGGTTCCCAGTAACTTGCTGCTGAAAAATGACGTTTTTACGAACAACTACTTGACCTCGACAAAAAACAGCATTTACCGTAAGCTTAGTAAATCAAGCCGAATTTTGTACAACAACTCCCTTTCATAACGTCTTGTTTGTTTTGTTACTTGTTTAACTTTTGATAACCATTTGTACTGTCCTCGCCAATCAAGCTTTCTTTTGCACTTCATAAAAATTTTTTTCCTTATATGCTCCCTAAATTTAATGAGTTTAAGCTAATCGCTTGCCTTCCATAACTTTCGCATCTGAAACTTGCAGTTCATCCTTCATTACTCGGATAAGTTGTGTATGACTAACGACAAAAAAACCTAAATAGTTCAGTTAACTAGAAGAGAACTGAAAAATTAAAACAAGAAGAACTTACATGAAATCAAACTTAGAAGAAACATCGCCATAGTCTCTAAAAACCCAGTAATCGTTCAACCACTTCTGCCTGGTACAGCACAAAACAATGCAAATCCCTCGTTGTCGCTTTCCAAAGTAACAGTACTTCGACACCTCAAGGAGTAGTAAGCTCCTAATGACCTTCGCTCACATTTCTGAAACCCAAGTCTTGCCAGCAAGTATCTGATCTGCTGCGGTAGAAAAACAACTTTTTAGATCAAAAATTTATGGAACCTGTAGCATCATCTAATAGCACGACCTTTTAAATAGCCATGTAACGAAACGGTGGTCAAAGCGATCTAATGCAGATCTTCTGTAGACCATAAACTTTTCCCCGCGTTTACAGATCAAAGACTGATAAACTACAACAGTTCTCAAAACTTTAACATCTTCAGGATAACTACAAAATCACGCTTCTTTTGAGCCGTGGTCGAAACCAATATTTAGGTAGCTGGTTATTCCAACAGACTAGTACCTCTGATCACTGCAGACACCCACTCCACCGGTCTCATTTATCAGGATGCCTTAATCCTATTATATATATATATATATATATATATATATATATATATATACGTATATATATATATATATATATATATATATATATATATATAGGTGCTGTGCTTAAGAGTGCGTATTTTTGTTTGTGGTCGTCCCTTCCTGAAAATCGGTTGAAAAACATTTTTGCAAAATTTGTAATTTCAGAATAAAATGATAATTTATTTTTGAGTACAATGCAACGTAAATTTTAGTTTATTCTGTAAAACACTTTCAGTTTTATTATTTTTATCATGCTGCATAAAATACAACTTGTTTAGAGATTTTTTTATTTAATCATAGTAGATATAATAGATGAGAACGTTTTACCTTTATCTATTTAGGAGAGAACAAATTCCTTTAAATGTTTATAATTCCATTTTTAGAGAAACATTACTTTTATTTTTACTAGCAGCCTTATGTTGTTTTTCAAAATTGCAATAAACTTTTTCAGACTATAAAAATTAGGTGTTTTGCACGAAGCAGAGCTCTCTATCTTCTTAGCAGTGTATTACAGATACTTTTCTGTATGAAAATAGGTCAAAAAGGCAGTACTGTAAAGTAACAGGTAATTAATTGGAATGATTTCTCTCGTTGCAGTGTTATGTACCCACTGAGCAAAGTCGGTCACAGGCGGAGTAAGGTTGAAAAAGTTAGGGAAATACATATTTTCTTGAGAAATAAATGAAGCTGTTGAAAACTGAAATGAAGAATTATATTTCAAATTTAGAACTGTGGGCAGACTATTTTGAGGTTGCAACAAAACTTGAGTTTATTCCATGAACAGACTGTGTTTAAGCAACAGCAGAATTTTAGTTGTTTAAGATGATGTATCAGTGTCTTGTTAAAACATTAAAATGATTTAGATTCGGCTCAAAGGGATTTAAATTTCTACCAAATAGTGAAAGAATTCTTATTGGATGCGTTTTGGCAGTTGCAAAATTAGTGAAAATTTTGAGAAGATTCAAATTTTAAAATCTTTTATCTGAGCTACTCTAATACGAATCACATGATATAAAAGCTGTTGTCAATAATCAGGCTTGAATATAATGATCTTCCGAAATCCTGAATTTTATTTAAAAACTTTAAAAAGTTTCAAGATTTCTTTTGAAACAGACTTATATTCTCTAGCAATTTCAGCATGCGTTTTAGTGTAACATGCATAAAACTGTTGCCTAAAATTCACAGATTTGCTGTTTTTGACAGGCAAAAGGAAGTAAAACTTTGACGTCACTTAGCGACTGCAATAAAATAAGCTGCAGTAAAGTAGTCCCTTTACTTCTTTGACTGTATCATTATTTCTTAATAAATCCTGAAAAAAAAGTAGTTTTATTTATTCTAGTACGATACAAATCTGTAGAAATTCTCGTTTAAACGTAATGCCGTTACTGTGTTTAAGTTTCAACGTGGGGCTGCGGTGCTTAATAGCTACTACAACACCATTTTTTTTT